CATAAAATATTTTAAAAGTAGTGACAGTTGTAGGAGAAAAGGAAAACAATAGAAAATAACCCAGGAAAAACTATCCTAGTCCTGAAGATCCAGAACGTTATTTTAAGGACACCAACTAATTTTTTCCCCATTTCGGTCCAGCTAACACTGGGCATGGCCACTCCATGCTAAGCCCCATATGCTGGCCACACTGTCATGTCAACCATCTCTTTTACCCCTACATTACATGCCACAAAGTAGGTTCATTGCAGCTGAGAAACTCAACATCCCAGGAGTACAAGAGTTTTACTCGCAAGATAGAGTGGACAATCATGAAAGGCTTTTTTTCCCCTGTTGATTTTGGGAAGGGTTTTTAAGATATTTGACAATCCCCAGCTCTGAGGCACAGTGAGCTGGGACCGAAGATGAGGTGTTCCATCTCCTGGTCCAGGTTATTTGTCTACAGTTCTGCGTTGCCACCCAAAGGGCTAGATTTTCCCAAGAGGGATGTGGATGGGATTTCAAGTCAACAATCTGTAAATAGAGCTGACCAATATTCCGGAACTTGGGTAAATAACTCCTGATGGGCAGGGCCCATTTCCTGTGCTAAATGTGAAACCCTATTGTATACAGTCAATGTAAATCAATTATTGTCAATGACTTAGTGGTACAGGCTCAAATGAGAACACTGAAGATTCTTGAGGTTGGTGTCATACATCCTAAATTGTGCATGCCACAACATGCTTGTGGAGGTCAGAGGACAGTTTGCAAGAGTTACTTCTCTCCTTCCATGAGGTGGGATTTGGGGAACAAACTTGGGGTGTTAGACTTGGCAGCAAGTGAGTTGTCTCAACAGGACCCATTCTGAACTTTTCTTTGGGCATTTCTTGGTCTTGCCAACATTCCCTATCACATACCTCCTCCCAGAAAGCTTTCCTGATTGCTCACTTTCCCCGTTATTTGATTTGTGTAGTAATTATGTTCAATTTCCTTCTTATCACTAAAAAATAATTCATTTGCTGTCTGGATGTTTCTTATATCCTCAAATGATGGGATCAATTGCTTCTACTTATTTTTTTATGGAGTCTAACACAATGTGATATTTTCATTCCATTTTGCCATGTTATCCACTTTCTCAAAAACCTTTACAGGAACATGATTTTAGGAGGTCGCCCAATAACTAGTGATCTTCTGAGTGATCGCCTTTCAAAAATGTCCATTCACTGGTTTTTAAATCCCACGTGCTGTTTAAATCCACTGGCTACCATCTGAAATGACCAATACCCAGGCCTCTCAGCACAGACAGACTGAATCAGAATTTCCTCATGTCCACACAATGATAAAACCAGCATAGAATTTGTAGCTTCTCACTGCCCCTCATGAATATGCATTTCTAATTAATGTATATGCAGATGTGGTTTTGTTGTATGCAAATGTGACTTTGTTGATTTAGAATCACAGAAGTTTTATAAATAATATCTAAAATAAGATCCAGGTCAATCTGGATCCAAAACTGAAGCCCAGGAGGTGGTGAGGAGAGGCTGAGCAGCTGCCTCACACTGGGAGGGGGTGGTTGCCAAGTGACAGGTCCTATCTTGAATGACTGGAATTTTCTGAACTTCTGTTTTGGAACTAGTTACCAGCCTGAGCTGTGTAGTTTCTAAATTTCTGCCTCTAAGGAAAATGAGTACCTTGAGTGGAAGAATTGGGCTTTAAAAGCTGTCAGTGCCAGGAGTCCCTTAAAGACTTGCAGTGTAGCACATTCCAAATAATCCATTGCCACGACAAGAGGAAATTCTACAGCAGGATATATCAAAGTCAGAAATAAATAAAAAGTAAATGATGGCTATCTGTTTGTTGGCCTTATCGTTGGACCTAGCTCAAAAGGCCTCAGAATCTTGATATCAGAGCACAGAGCACACCCATCCTTAGCTAAGCCAGCAGACATATGTACCTATGAGCAAGATACTCAACACCTCAAGCCTTCTTTTCTTAATAAAAAAGATAGTGCCTGCTCCATTGACCCTACACTTTCCAGTTATTGCAAAGGTTAAGTCAGATGGTTTATGCGGATGTATTTGGAGGATACCAAATCTCAGTGCATATATTTGCACAGAAGCGTCTTGTTAGTATCTTTTGAATGTGATGGCTTTTAAGTATTTGTTGTTTTGATTACTGAAGTTCTAAATCCTAAATTCTTGGTACCATGTCACTTACACAGTAAGATAAACTAGATTTAGTGCTAGACTAGAATTTCTAGCCACTGAAAGTATCACATAACCAAATGTAGGGACGTGAAGTGATGTAGTAGACTAGCCTAGGCTCTGCCCCAGAGTCTGCTTTTAACTATTGACTTTGGAAGTCACTTAATTTTTTTTTTTTTTTTGGTACTGGAGTCTAATCAGTGGCCATTAGAGTCAGAGATACTGTGATAAGAATAAGAATATAAACATTTTAAAATGCAATTTCCCAAGCTATTAATTCATGCAAGTCCACATTTTTCTATTTCTTCCTAGAAATACAGAATTGGAGCCTAATTAAAAAAAAAAAAAAAGCCTCTTTCTGCCAAACCCACATTTCAAAGATGTGTAGGAGCCTCCATTTTTTAAAAGAAAAATATCTCTACTGGGATACTTGCTTATTAATATTCTCTTCTGGAGACCTTTGATTCCTATACTGGTTGGTTTTATGTCAACTTGACACAGCTAGAGTCATCAGCTGTGAGGAAGAAGCCTCAATTGAGAAAATGCCTTCTTAAGATCCATCTGTAAGGCATTTTCTTAATTAGTGATCCCTGGGGGCATGCCCAGCCCATGGTGGGCAGTACCACCCCTGGGCAGGTGTTCCTGAGTTGTATAAGAAAGCAGATTGAGCAAGCCATGGGGAACAAGCCAGTAAGCAGCACCCCATCCATGGCCTCTGCATCAGCTCCTGCCCTGCTTGAGTTCCTGTCCTGAATTCCTTTGGTGATGAACAGTGAAGTTCAAGTGTAAGCCAAATAAATCTCTTCCTTCCCAACTTGCTTTTTTGGTCATGGTGTTTCATTGCATCAATAGAAATACTAAATAAGACATTACCAAATAAATAATTACCCAAATAGGACTTCATGAAGTATTGGGAAGCTTTTAGCTGGATTTCCAGTTTGTTACTTAATTCTGGTGGACCTGTTCTCTATACAATGGAAACAATCCTTTATTAATGATTTACTAAGTGTAGTTTCAGTGACCTATTTAAATCATGGGTAGTAATTGCCTGTAAACATAAAGGATTGCATCTTTTTTTTTTTTCTCTTTCTTTTTGGTTTCTCAAGAGAGGGTTTCTCTGTGGCTTTGGAGGCTGTCCTGAAACTATGTCTTGTAGACCAAGCTGGTCTCGAAGTCACAGAGATCCACCTGCCTCTGCCTCCCTAGTGATGGGATTTAAAGGCGTGTGCCACCAACGCCAGGCTAAGAATTGCTATCTATTTTAATTTTAGGATTGTAGTTTGCATGGCCTTTCTTAGAGATACTCTCTTTCTGACTTAATTTATCACTGCTACAGCACTATCTTTTACATACTATACATCTGAAATATCTGGGCCCCTTTGTTAAAGGCTTGGTCCCCAATCCATGGCACTGTTGAGAGGTAGTAAGACATTTAAGACCTAAACAAAAAGAGTTAGGTTCACAGCAGCATGCTGTTGGGGTAGTATTCGGCCCTTGCTCCTCCTGGATCTTTGCTTTCCTGCAGCTATGAGGTGGGCAGCTTCCTCTGCCATGTCCTGCCAGTGAGCCCTGATACACTACCTGACCACAGGCAATGCACACAGGAACCACAGACACAAACCACATTTATGTTTTGTATGATCAAAACAAATCCTTTCTTTTACTGATTGGCTTATCATTTGTCTCAGTAACAAAGAGTCAATGCTCTGGCTCTTCACTGATTGGTTCAGCTGTATGCTCAATAAAATGCTGGCTCCATTTAAAGTATAATCCGCAGAAAATCTAAGCTCCGTGGGACCATCTTCTGTGTTGTTTAACTCTAAATTCCCAATATCTACCACAGTATAATAGAAACCCAAGAGAATGCCAGGCCTCCTTCCTCTTCAGGGAAGGCAGCAAAGATGGCTACTTGGCGGTAAAACACTTGGCAATTTCTTGCAGAATTCATCAATTTTCCGTGAAAAAGCCTGGAAGCACAGAATAGACTCCAACTCCAAACTTAATTTTAAAACTATGCTTTTTTTTTTTTTTTTTTTTCCCAAGACCGACCATCTTAAAGTAAAAACAGCAAGGCCATTCACAGTGGTGTTAACGAAAACGGACCACCTAGTGTGGTTGAGCCTTGCTTTGAGGGCCACCGGATCCACACTGTTCTCAAATATTTGTTGAATTTTTGAGGAATTAAGCGAACGTAGGTGACATGTGCGTGCTTGGCACAGAAGTTAACACTTGTCAAACATTCGCCTCCGTCACCACCACTGTGCCCATTGCTACTCGGGTTGTATGACATTTACGGTAGTTGGAGGGTGGCCACCTTTGGGGAAGACCTGGGTTCAAATCTCGACTCTCTCATTTACTGACACCTGCCTAAATTGCTTTATCAGTTCGGGTTCCTTAGGGCTCCATAAAGAACTGTGTTCAATTCCCCACGTTGCTGCAGCCTAGTGCACAACACAGCCGCAACCTGGCGAGAATTCCAGACACCGAAACCGCTAGCTGAGCCTAGAGGGAGCCCAACCTGCGCTTGACAGCTCCCACCCAGGGGCCCGGCAGTTTCGCCTTCGCTAGTCAGTCCAACCGGCCACGTCTGGTGCGGGTCAGCAAAGGAAAAAAACCTAGTCAGAACCCGGTTTAGACCCTCCCACTAACGGTCCCTCCGCCTCTGGCCAGCCGGTCGCAGGACTCTGGTTTCCGGCCTTGAGAGGACTACAATTTCCACCATGCACTTGGTGGGAAGTCTTTCCCGATGGATGACTACCAATCCCGGCAGGCTATTCGGTTCACTAATAACTCAGATGACAGCGTGGGATGACCCAGTTGCACGCCGGGAATTGTAGTTTCCTAGCCGTGGGCTCGCAGATGGGTGGGGAACAACCCGCCAGTTCTTGTCGGCTCAGGGGAATGATTCATAGAGTGTCAGGAGGGTCAGTTCTGCTTGTGAAAGCCCACCACGAAGCTGAACTCTTCTCCAAGACCGGTGGGCCGATGAGAGTAGGCAGGTGCTGGGCCTGACCCGGTCCCTGGAGGGTCGTCAGGCCTCCACCAAGCCCTGGGCCTTGGAGGGGGGGGGAGGCCTCAAAGCTCCGGTTGCTGGGGGAGCGGTGACGTCTCGGGGTGAAAGTTGAGGGGCGGTGACGTACGGCCTGCCCGGGCGGAGGCTGGCGGGTTGGAGACTGGAGGGAGGGAGGGAAGGAGGGAAGGAAGGAAGCTGGGAAGGAGCGAGGTAGCGGGGGCGCGAGGCGTTTACCTGGGAGGCAGCGGCTGGGGCGCGCACGGCGGCCGCGGCTCCCCCGCACCTGCGGCCATGGATGAAGAGCGCGCCCTCTACATCGTCCGGGCCGGCGAGGCGGGGGCTATCGAGCGGGTCCTGAGGGATTACAGCGACAAGGTAAAGAGCTCTGGCCCCCGGGCGTTCGCTGTCTCGCCCCGGGCCGCCTTTGGGGCTTGTACTTCGCATCCTCCCCACCCCCCCTCATTCCGGGGATGCGCATTGCTCTCCCCCGAAAACGTTTCCGGCTTGGGCATGCGTGTTTGTGCCCCCAGCCTTTCCCACTTGTGCATCCTGCATCTCCCCCTCCCCCCAACACACACATACACACCGTAGCGCCCACTCCTCCGATTCCTGGCCCAGCAGCCTGCCCTGTGGGCTTCTTCCTAAGCGTGCAAGTCACACCCCCAGAATCCGATGCGCATCTGCCCAGTGCCCGACTCCTGGATGCATACAATGCATGTGAGGCTTTCTCACCTGCATACTGTAAAAATACATGCTTCTGTGCATAAACACGGCCCTTGACATGCATAAAACACACCAGCAACGATGACAGTTCTTTATGTACCAATACCATTCTCCGGCTTTCCAGGCATCGGTGTTCTATATGTGATCTTTGGTCCTCAGCGTGTTTATAGGGTAGATGGTATCATCTTTCCCATTTTATAGATGAGGAAACCAAGGTGCAAAGAACTGAAATCACACTCAAGGTCATGGACATACATGTTGTAAGTGGGTGGAAAATCCAACTCCTAATAATACCTGTTATTTGTATCGCATTAACAGCTTTCCTATTCATTATCTCATTTAGTCTTGACAGCAGTCCTGTGAGGTATTATCTGTGTTTTGCAATGGAGACTCTAGATGGGCTAACTAGCCCAAGGTCATTCTTGGGAGCCAGAGTCTTCCCACCTAGGTCTTTAAACTGTCCATTCATTGTCCTTCCACTTTTACAATGAAATGGTATCTTGTTATGAACACCACTTCCTCTCCCCGCCCCCTCCCGGGACCGTTAGCTCTCCTTTTCTTTTCCTTCCAGAAATTTTATCTGTTCACTTGAGGAAGTGCCCAAACTAGCACCTTCAGTTCTTTAGGGGGCTAAGCTTGTATGAGAAAGATTGTTGACTCTCTTCTGTAAAAACACACCCAGCACCAAGGTACACCCTAGATATAACTGATACCTTATTCCTCATAATTCCCTTCCTACTTATCAGCCCCCTCGGATATTAACCGCTCTTATGATAACGAGGTCCCAAATTCATATAGCCTATGAAAGATGGGCCTGAGGTTTGAGTCTAGCTGTCCATCTCCAAGTCTAGTGCCATTTTTGCTGTGCTGCGTTCCTTGGGAGCACCCATGGGTCATTTTCTGGTCAAATCTTACCTCTTCACCTTCTAATATACTTCGGTGTTGAGCATATCTGCCTAATTTAGGAGAAACTCATTTAATGTGTAGGTGTACATACTTCATAGATTGTATTATTTTAACTTGATTTATTATTGCTTTCCAGAGAAGATATGGGGGAGCTGCAAGCTGGTTTTTCAAGAGGAAGTATAATAATTTGGCTATTGTGTTGAATTAACTAATGTTTATTTAGCACCTACTACATGCCAGATATCCAGCAATAATAGGAACTTTCTTCTGCAGGGAAGGGAGGAGGAAAACCAGCACTGGGATCTTAGTCCAGTACTCACTGTTTTGTGGCTAAACTAATTAGGCCCCACTTACTTGCTCCCTCCAGCTTATCCCTTCCTCTCCCTGATCTCCCTTCAGGTTGGTTTGCTCCTGTCACTCATGGCCACATCTTGTTTGAGCTTAGCTTCCCTTTCATATTGTAAGTGTTTCCTCAAGTGCTTCAGAGGGTTCCCAGACACCCTTTGTGGCCAGGCCAAGCCTGAGAATGTCCTGATTTGGTAGGAATGGGACGAGATAGCTCTTTGAGGAGAAAGCATGTTTACTATTAGTTACAGCAGGAACAGTGGAGTAGGGCTGACTGGAGCACAGAGGACACTGGTGAGTTCTCTTTCGCCTTGCGGCACTCTTCCTCAAAGGGAGAAGCTGGTGACACAGATCGGACGATGGTGAATGATACCCACGGTCAGGCAAGGAGAATAGAAAAAGCTGTCCAGATTTATGTCGTATGGGCCTGGAACCCCTAGAAAGCAGATGGGTAGCATGCCCGCCAGATTTCCTATCTAGAAAAATGGATCTGCAAAATGTTCAGAGGAAGAAGTGATTGTGGGACATTGAGGGGGTCCAAGCAGAAGAGGAAAGGTGTGGAGAAAAATTAGGTGTTTAGAAGAGGAGAAGGGCTCTGTATGTTACCTTTTCTAATAAGCCGGTCGTTGCAAGTATAGCAGAAAGAGCTGGGGTCTGGCATCAGATAAACCTTGGTTCTAATCTCAACTCTGCTGTTAATAGCTTCATGACTGTGGATGTTATTTCAAGCCTCTGGGTCCCAGTTGCCTTATCTGTGAAAGATGGATTAAAACACCATTCTTTCTATTTATTATGTGGATTAGCTCCATTGAAATATAGTGCCAAGCACTGAGCACAGTGTGTCTGTGAAGTCTTCCCTGTTATGAGGAGTTAATAGTCCGGATCCTTCATGAGGTGGTGTGGTCAGAGTACAGGCTCCCTGGATACTGACCCTCAGTTTACAGTGTATGTGGCCAAGTCCAGATTCTTCACTGTGCTGCTCTGACCTCTGTCAAATGAGAGGAGTAGTGTCCATATGCTAGGGCTTTGGTCAGGATTGCCTGGGTTCTGTGTAAAGCACTTAGAACTGGACCTGGTGCTGAAGAAGCCCATGGCTGTTTGCTGTCAACAAAGCCAATGGCACTGAACTGACGTAGCATAGCTAGAAGTCTGGGGATTTTCCCACTCTATATCTTACCCTTCGCACCTTCCATTGGTATGGTTGCCACATTATATCGCCGTCTGCTCTCAGAGCAGCCAGGAGCACTGTGACTCCAGCGTATACCATCTCCAAGCACTCTTGCTTCATTTGCTGGCCCTTGTTGTCATAGAGAAATCTCTATCCCAGAAAGAAAAAAGAGTGTTTGTCAAGGGGAAGTTGCTTCAGAATAGGAAAATAATTCTTCTTGGGTGGTGGTGGCACACACTTTTAATCTTAGCACCTGGGAGGCAGAGGCAGGCAGATCTTCAGTTCCGGGTTAGCCTGGTCTGCAGAGCAAGTACAGGGCCACACAGGGAAACCTGCCTTGAACACCCCACCCTAAGAGTAGTTGTTTCTCACTCCTAAGTTCACCTGCTAGCGTGTATTGAGTGTCTTTTGGCACTGTGTACTTTCCTGAGAATTTACACACACAGTCCCCTTACATTAAATGTTATAAGAGAAATGGAAGTATTTTCATATTTTTTGAAATAGGAGATGGAGGTCCAGACTGACAAGGTGGTTATATGGCTAGAAGTGGCAAATGCGGTCTTTAGATCCCTCACCTTCACCCAGGTCACTTTTGCGGGGCTGTGTTGCCTGTCTCTTGTTGATTCTGCTTTTGAGTACAGGAAGGTTTTATTTTCAGGAGCAGTGTACTACTTTCTTTGCTACTGGTGAGCCCTAAGCACTCTCCTATAGTTAGAATGAGCTGTTTATTTTGAGATGTGTTGCTATAGTTTAGACTATCTAAGCCCTTGGTCTTCCTTCCAGGTCTATTCTGATAACAGGTTTAGTAGAGAGGCTGTTGACCATCTTTAGCTTCATTGTCAGGTTGAGGTACACTGTAACATTGTGATTTTGTTGTTGTTTTTCAAGACAGGTTTCTCTGTGTAGTCCCGGCTGTCATGGGACTCCCTCTGTAGACCAGGCTGACCTCAAATGTGGAGATGGCCATCATCTGCCTCCCGAGTGCTGGGACTAAAGGCATGTTGGGGAGCGGCTAGACTTTGAGCACAGGGTCTTGCTTGTAAGAAAATGTTCTGCCTCTGAGCTCAAAGAACCAAATTTGTCACTTAGTACATGAAGAAACTTGAGTTGATTAACTGACTGATAAATCCAGACATGGCATGACATGTCCTGGAGGCAACCTGGACATGTCACTGTCTCACAGCCATCTCACAGGACTCCATTTGGAAGTGTGGAAGTTTATGGTCAGATGAATGATGAAAAGTTACTTAAGATAATGTTCCTTACGTAGGTCTCCAAGAGTTAGTTCCAGGAAAGGGAGACTGCTGGTAGCCCCGAGCTCATCATTCATATGCTAGAAGAGTGTGACTGATAGAAAACTAGCATGGAAACAGTTCTAGAAATGCAGCCTCTGCATTTGAATGGGGATTTAAATATCCTGGACCATGTACGAGGATGTTTTGCTTTCCATTTTTGAGATTGAGCTTTGACTTTGGTCTTGCCCTAGGTTTTTGCATAGAGATATCCTTGTTACAGGTGGTATTTACTTCCAAATTGTTTTATAGTCTGTTTTGAGTCCTAAGAAGTAGTCTTTGAGTGTAACTGTAGACATCAGTGCACTAACTCTGAGTTCTGTAATAGATCATCATTTAGCCAGATACCAAAGCGGAGACCATGCAGTAACAACAGTAGTGGCCATTTAATGACTATCTACCATGTGCAAGGAAAACCTTAGGGATTGTAAAGTGCAGCATGACCAGGGTTGCCCTCGGTGAGCAGCAGAACTGGGCTCATATTTGAGGTTATCTGATGGCTGAGTTTTGTGTGTGTGTGTGTGTCTGGTTCATCAGTGATAAAACCTGCAGTCATGAGTCTGGTGTGTCACTGAGAGGTTCTAGCTTGCCTGAACTTCAAACTGAACAGTGATTTTTCTCTGTGATTTATATTCAGTTTGCTCCTGTTCTGGAATGTAGTGTCTAAAAACCCCATGTTAGTTGGCTGACAGCTCTAGCAAGGCAAGTGCACCTGAATGCTAGTTCTCTTCCCACCATTTGGGCTGTGGAAAGGGGAGTGAGACAGCAAGATGGCAAAGCACCATGCCAGCCTGGGGCACTCAGAAAGTGCTTCTCAAAGTTAAAAGTATTTAAAAGTGTTGCAGGGAGAGGTGGGAGGGGATGCTAGGTCTGATCTAGCCTGGGTAACTGAAGTTATCCTCATAGAATCCAGAATCTGCTGGATACAGTGATCGTTGGGGTTGAGTTTCTAGTAGCTGGGTCCATTCAGAGTTTCATTTCTCATGCTCCCCATGCTAGTATATTTTCTAGTTAAATTAAGCTTTTATGCTGGCTAGATTGGCCCTTTGAAAATGTTTATTATTTTTAAATGCTGTTTTATTATTATTTTAAATTATTATTATTATTTTCAGTCAGACTTGCTGTGAAAAAGCAACAGAAAAGTGAAAAATTAGCCCTTGGTACTATTCTAAATTCTCACCTACAAAAAAATAATTCTATGTAGGAAATACTTAGAAGATATTTTTGTAACTTACTGAGTATCTTTCCAAACAAGAATTACTTTTTTCCTGTTCTCTCCTTATAAATGCCAAAAAAGCATTTAGGAGAAGTATTAAGTTTTAACAACTGACACATTTATTCCAAATAACTACAGAATTAATATTTTATGTAGAATGACAAAAACTAAGCCTTCTTGGTTTCTACTGTAGTTATGTTCATTTATTAGGGGGCCTGTACTGAACTTCACTTAGAATGTTGGCCTTCTGCCTCCTTGTCTTTACTGCTAGGTTTCAGTGAACTCTGACTGTAAATCCCCAAGTATAGGTTCAGATTCATGTCCTCCTTTTCTGCCTTCCCCCCCTCTTCCTATTCATTTACTCAAGATTTTTATTATAAAATAAACCCAATGTGCCACCTTTCTTTTAGTTGTTACATGTTATTTTACCAGATGGATGTGATATGTTCTGTAGAATATCATATGCTATGTTCTGTAGAATATTGTGGCATGCCTCTTTAACTGTATTAGAAAACACTGTTGTGAATGTGCTTACATAGACAGTTTCTCTCACTCTGAATGACTTCATTAAAATAAACTCATACGAGTAGGAGCTCTGGGTCAAATGGGGTAAATATTTTTATGGCTTCTAGTATGTGTTGCCAAATCACTTCCCCTTTAAAGGTTTGTGTCAAATGGCACTGCATTATACCAGCTTCTCACATGGCTTTCCGCCTCCCATCTTGCTCTCCCTGAACTGGCCTATGGGCTACTGCCCAGAATACTCCATCCCTCCTAGACTCGTCCTTCTCTCTCACATCACCTGTTTCAGTTGGTTTGGCCCATGTTTGAGTAGCTACATTGAGGTTTTCTTAAATGACCCTTATCTCCCAACCTCTTGTCTTCTCCCTCCTAGCGTTTCTGTAGCTCATTTTGTTTCAAACACTGTTTCTGCAAAACTACAAAACTACCAAAATGATGCTATCTTTTACACTCAGCGTGCTTCATTTGTAGTGGGTTGCCAGTCATGTACTGTTTTCCCAAGAGGAGCCCAGGTGCAGTTTACTTGCTTGAAATCATAACTAGTAAGAGTGAGGAGCCTCCTTTTCACAGTTTTGTCTTTCTCTGTTCCTTCCTTCCTTCCTTCCTTTCTTTCTTTTTTGGTTTTTGGAGACAGGGTTTGTATGTGTAGCCCTGACTGGCTGTCCTGGAACTCGCTCTGTAGACCAGGCAGGCCTCAAACTCAGAGGTCCGCCTGCCTCTGCCTGCAGAGTGCTGGGATTAAAGGTGTGCACCATTGCCTGACCTCGAATGATTTCTTATGGAATACAAAAAGAAAAGTCCTGCACACTGATGGGCATTTCCAAATCCTGTTCAATCTATGTTTCCAGTTTTATCTTCTGTGTGCCATCCCCTAATGTGTCCCATTTTTCTCCCAGAGCTGCTGGTTTCATGAATATGTGGTTCATACATCTACATCAAACACATAATATCCCTCAAAGTCCAGCTCGGTTATCCAGTGCCTTTGCTAGGCATCTCACCTCCTGTGGGTAGTCTTTTCATGTGACTTTACTATCTATCTATCTATCTATCTATCTATCTATCTATCTATATCTATATCTATATCTATATCTATATATAATTGTGTTATTATGTGTGTCTTTAATAAGAATTTTGAGATGAAAAGCAATATTTTATAAGAAAAGTAGTTTATGTATTTTGTTTAAAAAACTTTTAAAAATATATGTATTAAAATGACAATGTTTCCTTTTCCCCCCTCAGCATAGGGCTACTTTCAAATTTGAATCAACAGATGAAGATAAAAGAAAGGTAAGGTTTGGTGTGTGTGTGTGTGTGTGTGTGTCTGTGTGTCTGTGTGCCTGTGTGTGTGTGAGTGTGAGTGTGTGTGTGTGTGTGTGTGTGTGTCTGTGTCATTCCTGCATAGTTTAAGCGATGGACTTGTTTTCATCTGATGGTTATTGATTAGTTTTTGGTTTCACTTCAGTTTTCAGGAACCCTGAGAAGAAAGAGAGGTAGCAGGTTTAGGATGGGTTACACACGGTCCCTCTTGTTCAGCCCCACAGGATCCCCAGGCTTACTTAAGTTCAGGTGGAACTATCACTAGATTTTCTTACTGCTAAGAGGTTTACTTTTCTTGGTGGCAGAATTCCAGGTTGTGCACTGTGTCGGGCTAATATACAGCATGGCTATGACGGGCTGAGTTTGGGGAAAGCAGCTTTTCTTGCTGTGGTCCCTCATCTATATCATGTATCCTGTTAGCATTGTACCTACTTATATTGTCACAGTTGTCTAGGTCACCAGCTTCATAGTAACGGGACTGGAATTGAGAGATTCTCACACAAAGGAGTTACTACAAGAGAGGGTGCATCAGACATGGCTATGCAGTGTATGGTTGCCTTACTTGGTGGGTTAAGGAGTGATGCTAATGAGGATAAACCTGTCCTGCCTTTTTATTTTTCTGGGTTCTATACCTATATCCCAGGCTCACAGATCCCAGGGTCAGATAAGGCTATGGCTGAGTCAGTGTGCACCTCTTGGTGCTGGAAGGCTTGGCTTAGATGATGGTGGAGGATTGGTGGCCTTACAGGTGTCCATTTACCTCTCTCTACATCCAATGCCTGCTTCTCTACCTCCTAAGATTTATCCTCCTAATTCTAACCTTCATCTGGATGGTACATTAAGTTACTTACTTATTCATTGTGTTGGTTTTGAGATAGTGTTTCTCTGTGTAGTCCTGCCTGTCCTGGAACTTGCTCTGTAGACCTGGCTGTCCTTGAACCCAGAGATCCGTTTGCCTCTGCCTTGAGTGCTGGGATTAAAGACATGTGCCACCACTGCTTGGCACTGTGTTAGTTCTTGAGCTGTCCTTTCCCTTTCTGGTGACTTGTGGTTCTAGCTGTTTGTCCATAAATCTAGGACAGCAGTCTGGGCATGCCATTCTTAGCACCAATCGTGTGTGTATCTATAGACAGTCTTCAGGAAATAAGCCTCCCTACAAAACAGCTCAGTGTCTATGGAGGAGAAACTGGTAGTTAGCTATTTAGTTAAGATGCCTTTTGCTCTTTGACCAAAATATGTCACTTTTGGAGATCTGTTTTACCTTTAGATTGAACCCAAGTGAACAAAATTTTTTCATTAAAACATATATAAACAGCAAAACATTGAAAATAGCTGGTTACAGGATGTTGGGAAGAAACAACGGCACATTGATCGAATTTTATGAAGTAGTAAAAGTTCTATTCTGTGCTTTTGAAAAAGAACAAAGTAAGGCATTTAGAGAAAGCATATTGAATGATAGACTCATATTAGAAATTCAGATTAGGAAGGTAGCTGCTATATATTTGATTGGGAAAACCCATTCTACATTTGTAACATTAATGCGCTATTAGGGGTTAAACTTCAGAGTCTCTGATAGTGCTTTACTCAGCATTAAGAGCAAAAGAGATCACCAAGTCACTAAAGTGTTTGCCTCACCATCAGGACTCAACGTCAAGTTCATAGAACCAATGGAAAAATGCCAGGAGCAGTGACACATTTGTCATAAAAATGTGCATAAAAAACTAAATACAGATGTTTTACCCCATATAAATATTAGTTGAAAGGGAGTTTCCTGTATTAATTATACATGTTGTTTTATTCTAACCATTGTCCTCACTTGCGGTCTACATGGGCTTGATTCCAGCAACATTCCTCTAATACACACATAACCCCCAGATATACAAGCTTTATCCATCTAGTGTTTGCATATAAGTACACATCTTCCCATATACTTTAAATTATCGCTAGGTGCCCATTATAATGTGAATGTTTTGTAAAGTTATAGTGCCTTGTGAGTAATGATAAAAGTCTTGGTATGTCCAGTGCAGAGACTTTTTTCCTAGTAGTTTTGTTCCAAAGGTTGTTTGAATCTGTTGGCGTGGCGATTGCCCTCTGCTACTTTTAGATCTCTGGAGAGAGGAACCTCTGCACTAGTGTTTATTTCAGTTTGTGTGTAGGTTTCTGCTCCCTGGGAGGTCTGTTATAAACAAGTGTCATTAGGGACCTAGGTAGGTAATCTTCATTAATGGAAAGCAGTGGCAAACAATCCATTTCAGTCTCCAATGGATAAAACCATTACTGACTCTCTGATGTCCGCAGTGCCTGTCAGACAGTGAGAGGGGAACTGAGGGACAGCTCCAAGGCTAACAGTGTCAGAAGTTCTCTGTGGAAACAGTTGTAGGCACTTCTCTACATTGAGCCCACAGTGAAAATACAAGGAATCAAATTACTACATAGTTTTTTTTTTTTCTGTCCTTATACTGCCCTAATTGTGCTTCTAGAGCAGTTGTTCTCAACCTGTGGGTCTCGACCCCTTTGAGGGTCCCAAATCAGATATTTACATTATGATTCATAGAAGTAGCAGAATTTGAATAATGAAGTAACAACAAAATAGTTTGATGTTTGGGAGTCAGCACATCGTGAGGAACTATATTACAGGGTTGCAGCATTTGAAAGGTTGAGAAGCACTGCTCTACAGTAGCTACTTGGTTATAAAAATCCATAAAGTACAGTGCTTGCTAAAACATCCACCAAAAATCCACCCATAGTAATATCTTTCTTATATTAAAAAGAAAATTTTCTGACAACCTAGAATAGTGCAAGCAAAGCAGTGCCCTTCAGCCCTTCAAAAAAACAAAACAAAACCAAAAAAAAAAAAAAAAAAAAAAAACAAACAAAAAAAAAACCAGCATTATATTGGCTTTGTGCATTTGATGATCTCTACTACATCTGGTTCCTGACACTGTGTCATAGTTTTCAGTTTACAAAGATTTGCTTCTCCTGATTAGTGCCAAGAAGTATGGTGAGCATACTGCAGTGAGAAACTGAGGGTTCTGCTCACATTGCCGGGATGTGGGGAAGCCTTGTGTAGAAAGGATGCTCTACTATGCCGAGTTCTTCAGTCCTCATTGCTCAGGGGCTGTCTCTTCATAAACTTTTAAAGTAGATTCTGATGTACTGGAAATTATGATCTAATACTTTGTTGTCTTATTTCGCCACTGTGGAGACAGCATTTAAGCATCAGGCTTATGTTGGGATTTGGCAAATGGAATCAGCATATGGGGATTTGTATATTTTTCTTAAGGAGTAGAGTCAGATACAGTTCTAATGTTCGTGCATAGGATGCAAATTGTGACAGGTGCATGTGGGTCGCTGTGTGTTTGGATAGAAGCACCTGTGCTTGCTTTACATGTTCACCTGAAACATGTCAGTACATAACAAATGTATCATGCAAATGGGGAATAATCTGGAAACCTACATTGAGACAGTGAAAGTTCTTACCTTGGTTTTAACATAAAACATCCCAGCAAAGACTGTTGTGATCACAGTTGAAAAAGATGTGTCATAAAATGGATAGAGCTGGATGACAGCTCAAGGACAGAGTTTGCCTAGCATATGGGAGGCTCCGAGTTCAACCCTCAGTACTGGGTGTGGAGAGAGGAGTAAACCATTCACAGCTCCTTGACCTGTAACTAAGAATGTAGCATTATCAGCTGTGGAAAAGCTCCAGTTGTCCACGATACACTTCATTTTCCTTGTGCTCGCTTCGGCTGGAATGGTACAGAGAAGACTAGTGTGGCCCCTGCGCAAGGATGACATGAAAATTCATGAAGCCGTCAGTATAAAAACAAACAAACAAGCAAACAAAAAACCCATTTTCCTCAAAAGAATGAGTGTCCCACACCTAAACTTCCAGCGTATTTTATAACTGAGACTCATTAATGTTAAGCCGTCCGGTAGGTAGTTGCTGAGTTGAAATTGTGAGCTCAGCTCCTACTACTGAATGTGGCCCTGCAGTGATATAGACCAGGCTGGCCTGGAACTCATTGCTGGGATTAAAGGCCTGTGCTACTGTGCTGGCCCTTTCCCTCACTTTACTGACATCACTGCTGTGCCTATTCACTGGAATAGCTGGAGGCAGGGATGCTTGTTCTGAAAGCCTTGTCAAACTTCAAAGGAACAGCTTAATATGGCTTATAAATTTGAATCAGAATTTACTTGATGACGCTACCTAAGGGAACACATAGGCGCATGGTACAAATACAGTGCTCATTCTGCAACTAGTCTCTTCAGAGTTAATACTCTGGCTGGGGACAGAGCCCAGGAGTAGAATGCTTTCCAGTGTAGCCAAGGTTCTCAGTGCCCTCCCTCCCTCCCTCCCTCCCTCCCTCCCTCCCTCCCTCTCTCCCTCCCTCCCTCCCTGTCTCTCCCTGTCTCTTTGTCTCCCTCCCTCCTTGTATCCTGTCTCTCTCTCTTCCTCCTTGTCTCTCTCTCAGTTCAGTTGTAGAATACTTTCTAGCATATCCAAGGTTTTGGGTGCCTCTCCCTCCAACAGATAGTAACTTTAAATATTTTTTTATCCCATTAAAACATGTGCACACAGTGCAGATTTCACATCTCAAATTTTTGTTTTTAAAGTTCCTACCTAGTAGTAGCTCAAACCAAACAATTTGAGTTTTATTCCAAGCTGTACCTTTCAGTGTAGAAATTTTGCCAGAGAATTGAAGGGATAAATCTAGGGAGAAAGGGCAGTGATTCTAAAGTTAGGGTCTTTATGTGATCTTTAATACACAGACATGCATGCATGCATGCATGTATGTATGCACACATACATACATACATAGAGTGTGTATGTGTGTGTGTGTGCAAGTGCGTACCCATGTGAACATGGGAATAGCCATGACACTGTACATGTGGAGATCAGAGACTTGAGACATGGACTCTGTCTAGCCCCATCTGGGGTGGTGGCTGCACTTCAGGACCTGCTTTAGGAAACAAGGTCTCTGGATTCTGTTGTGTGCTGTGCTGCCCTGGGGCTTTTGCTGGTCCTCCTGTGTCTCCCTACCCTCTCTCCAGAGCAGCACACCAATGCCTTCTGGCACATCCTGCTTTTTCAGGCTCCAGCCTGAAGCTCAGCTCATCAGGCCTGTCAGCAACTGTCCCCCTGACCCACGCCGCGTGACCCTTGTGCTTCTTTTTCAGACTTCTGACTGGGGTGATATGAATAGTGTCTTTAATTGACATTACAGAGTTTGGGTATGTTTTCTCATCTAAACACCACAGTGCAGTGGATTTGTCTTTCAGCAATGATAGTGTATGGAGATTTATAAACCCTCATTCCAGTGAAACCTTTGAAAATTATTTTTTTAAAATTAATCTCGAGTATATAATGAAGAGAACATATACTGAAAACATTTTGTAACTCAGTAAGAAAAGTAAATGGATGATATGTGTACTGAGACCTCCAATAAACAGGTGCAGTAGGAACACTCCAGCTACTAGTTGGAGGGCTATTTTCTCAGGAGGGACACAATTTATATTCCTACTCCTGTTTCTCTCTTGCTGCCTTCAGAATTTTCTCCTTTAGCTTTTAGTAGTTGTTTTTCTCCTTCCACCGTGGACTCTGGGGATCTGATTCAAATTGACAGACTTGTTTTCCAAGTGCTTTCACTAGGTGAACCATCATGTGGCCCCTTCAGTGATTTTGAAAAGCATCCATGTAAAGCAGTGTGTCTGGAACGTGATGGTGAACAAATAGCATATATAAATACAATACTTTTGCCAGACTGCCACAAAGGTGAATGGCAGCAAAGCTGTATTATATTAAAATGACTCCAGATGGCAGCTAGAATCCCCAAGAACAAATCAGAAGAAGCAGAAGCGATAATAAACAAGGCCAATTATTGCGCCAGGAGGTGGTGGTGCATGTCTTTAATCCCAGCACTTGGGAGGCAGAGGCAGGCAGATCTCTGAGTTTGAGGCCAGCCTAGTCTATAGAGTGAGTTTCGGGACAGCCAGGGCTACACAGAGAAAAACTTGTCTTGAAAAACCAAAAAAAAAAAAGAAAGAAAAAAAATAATTTTAATTGTTGTTTTTGTGACTTTGCAGATATAATGTATCTAACAGTATTTCAAAAGACAAAAGGGTGATTACTGTCCAGGAACGATCCTTGTGTGCCTATGAATATTAATCTGGAGCAGATCATAAAGTGCATACACTGAGCCTCTGAGCAGTGGTTCTCAACCTTCCCGTGTCCAGCACTCCTCATGGTGTGCTCATCTCCAAACAGCTTTATTTCTTTGCTCTTCACAACTGTAATTTTGCTACTGTTACAAATTGTAATATAAATGTGTGTATTTTCTGATGGTCTTAGGTGACCATCCCAAAGTTGAGAACTATTGCCTTTAAGTAACAAGTACATAGCTCAGAGTTAGACGTTAAAGATTGTCAGACTGAGAGTAATTAAAGAAGATCTAAATAAATGAAAAAAAACATGTTTATGAATTGGAATACTTACTACTGCTAGAATATCGATATTATTCTCACTGATATACCAATTCAGTGTAATCCCTTCTAGAATTGTAGGTGGCTTCTAGTTAGAAGTCGACAGTTGTGAAATGAAAACAAACAGGACTGGGAACCAGTGTGAAAATGGCTGTGACTGTTACAAAGGAACCCACATCTCATTCAGAGATGCAGTTGGGGGCGGGAGAGAGCTTGGCTCTTAGGGGCACTGGCTGCTCTTCCTGAGGATCTGGGTTCAATTCTCAGTACCCATCTGACAGCTCACAACTGTTTGTACCTCCAGTTCCAGGGGATCTGACATATTCACACAGGATACATGCAGGCAAAACACCAGTGCACATAAAATAAAAATAAATAAAAATTAAAAAAAATGAAAATGGATCTAAGAGATAAAGATGTAAAACTTACTGGGAAAACCAGAAATCTCCATGCTTTCAGATGATACCAAAAGCATAAACAAAAACAGGCAAACTGGACATTGTGGAAATTAAAAACATCTATTCTTTAAAAAAAAAATACTACCAGGAAGAAAAACAAACAAAAAAAGATAACCTGCAAAATTAGAGAAAATACTGGAAAATCATTTATCTGTTAAAAATTTCACTTAAAATATATGAGGAACTCTTTAAATCCTTTATGTGTATGTGTGTTTTGCCTGTAAGTGTGTTTGTGTCCCATCTGCATGCTTGGTGCTTATTGAGATCAGAAGAGGGCGTTGAATACTCTGAATCTAGTTACAGGTAGTCATAAGCAGCTGAGCCATCCCTCCAGCCCTAGGAACCTTTCTTAATCAGAAGACAACTGAATTTAAAATGAACAAAGAATTGAAGAGCTAGGTTTCCAAAATAAAAAATTGACATCATTAGTTATCAGATAAAGGTAAATCAAAACCTCCATAAAACCCAACTTGCCTCTACTGGCTAGAAAAAGAGATAATAACAAGTATTGCTAAGAATGCCAAAATACCCATTCCTTCACACACTACTTGTAGGAAGTGGTACAGCCAGTGTGGAAAATAATCTGGCAGTTACTCACAAAATTAAACCAGTTACCATCTAATATACCTGTTATACCCCAGGCATCTAGAGTGGCTCTTATGAGTGTGTTACAAAAAGAAATGTGGACATAGCCCACACAAAACTACACACACACAGGTTTGTTGCTTAATAATCAAACAATAGAAACAACCCAGATGTCCATCAGCATGTCAGTGATGAACAAAATATGGTATATTCCTGCAACAGAATATTATTCAGTTAAAAAAAAAAGAGGTAAAGTAACTAGTGCATGCTAATGGTGAATGGACTTTGAAAGTGTGCTTTGTGAAGGAGGCCAGACAGATGTGGGATTTCTGTTAGTGTGAAACGTCTTGGATAACAGATCTTTAGTGACAAAAAATAGATTACTGGTTGCCAGGGACCTAGAACCAGGAAAGGAGCTGGGATTTACTGCTAATGGGTATTGAGTTTCTTTTGGGAGAGATGAAAATATTCTAAAATTAGATAGCAATGATGGCAGCACAAGTGTGAATATGTACTCTAAAAAAATGGACAGTATACTTTGACAGGATGGCCTTCATGTGAATTATATCTCAATAAAAATGACATGAAAACAAGTATTACTAAAGTAATAATGTGCCTTTCGCCTTCGAAGCCCCATCTGTCTGTGTGCACATTTAAGCCTCGCAACAAAGCTTTAAAGTCTGTACTACAGTGGTTTTTGTTTTACAGGAGAGGAAACCAAGCATACAGAGAAAATGCTCTGAACTAGTGAAGTGGTAGGCCGGAAGTGGCCTCAGCAGCCTGGTCCGTAGCCCTGTGTCACACCATGTCAGGCTGTCACACCATCATGTGGCTTATAACCTCTCTGACTTAGGTGGTGTCCAGGCTTCGAGGTTGGCTGTGGAGTGTAGACAGACCACTGAGCCGATTGCCAGCATTGAAGGACACAAGAGGACATGCTTGCCATGAGGGGCTGGGTAGATAACTGGAGGACTTGACCTCTAGAATTTAGGTGTGTTGCAGAGTTTTTCCAGATATGTTAGAATTTTGTTGCTGTTGTTAAAAGTGTAAGGCTCTTTTCAGTACTTCATTTCTCAGAACTGCTCACATGTCAGGGAAAGTGGAATGCTTATATGTCAGTACTTGATAGAACTCACAGGGACTAGACATGGCCAGTGATTCTAATTACTGTCATCCTCAGGATTGCTAATTAGCAGAGAAACTTGAACCAAATCAATTTAATGATTGTTCCTCACAGCTCTTCTCAGTCTTACCTAGCCAGTGGGTCTGTCTGTAGTGCTGAGAAATGATCACATCCAAG